AACTTATATTAATGTAATGTTACTATTAGCCAGCGAGATGTGTGTGATATTCTCTACATCCTCGTTCAGTCGTGAATCATTACAATCATCTCCCAAATTAACCAATCGAGTTAATGAATTCATTAATTCCCCGAAGATAATGAAAATTCCATCAATTTAACTGGCGAGGGGTCATTAACACCTCCAAGGCCATTCAATAGCCCGGGAAATTTACCCCGAAATTAAAAAAAAAATAACAATCCGCTGCAGTAGCTCCTGAGTAAAATGAAAAAAAAAATTAATGAAAAATTCGTTTTTCCGAAATATTTCGATAACTAATGGCCCAATTTCACTCTTTTTTTTTAATTTACTGGTAAATTTCCCGATCTGTTGAATGGACTCACCTCTCCCCTCCCCCCCTCCACCCCTTCCTCCCCAATTTCAAAAATTGAAAAGTCAGGAATTTGATTTTAATTGAAAAAAAAATTTTTGATTTTATTTTTGTAGTCACGACTGGACGAAATATCAGAATAAATAGCAACGATTTTTGTTTATAAATATGGATTAATAATTTATCATTAAAGCGATCGAGTCGATTTTTTTTTCTTCAAAGTACCTTGTGATTGAAAGAGAAAAATGAAGAAAAAAAAGACAGAGTCATGTACTGCGTGTCTGTGGAGTCAGCGATCGGCCTAGTAATTATAAAAATCATTGAATAAAGCAACAAGAGAAATAGAGAGAGATCGAAGACGAGTGGGGGGATTTTTTAAAATTTTAATTGAATCCTAGTGTTGAAGATTCCAGGATTTTTTGTTGAATTTATTTTTCACCTGCTCGCTGGATTCCCTTTAATCCTCCTTTTACGGCGTGAATGATCGTTTATTGTAGTTTTAATTCCTCGTCTAACGGTCCTTCAGTGCCTATTAACTCGCGATTACGAGTCATCGGGGGTGGAGATTTATTCGGGGAGACAGTGACCTCAGTGGATAGATCGGGGGATTTAGGGGTGAAGTAAAATCGTTGAAATTGTGGTGTAATTGCAGACGTCAGGCATCAGTCGTCTGATCGTCTGTAACCATGAAGATCAGTGTACTACAGCATCAGGAAAGGAATTCACAAAATCAGTCAGATATTATTCGTGAAGTCGTCTGCAATTAATTAAACATGAAGAACATGCAAAAAATTTAGATGAATCTTCCGGAGAAAGGCCTTGAATTCCATTTAAGGGGAAGAAGTCAATGGAATTGCAATTTTAGCTGACAATTCAAGTAAAAACCCAATTTTTTTGCGACAGGAAGAGGGAAATTCTAGAATTTCAAGTGAAATTTCAAGTGAAAGTGAATATTTACTGCTTAATTCCCTTGAAGTTTCAGGGAATTCCTTTAAAATTCTTGGAATTTCAGGAACTTTTGAAGGAATTTCCTGAAAATATTCTCGACATTCTTGAAATTCTTAGAATTCCAAGAATTTTTCAGGAATTCCCTGAAGGAGAGAATTCTCTGAATTTTCCTGATTTTTCCCTAATTTTTCCGGACTAATTAAATCTAAATTGACAATTTCCCCGGATTTCCCCACGAAATTATGAATTTCCAATAACAAAATTCCTCAAAATTTTCGTCGATAATTTTAAACAATCTAAATCATCCCTCATAAGCCCAAAAACGCATAGAAAACGTATCGAGCGATAAATCCCCCACAAAAATTTAATTACGGAATTATCCAATCTATCCAATGGGGTCACAATCAACTCCCACCAGTGCCGAGCAATTCCATAAACAAGAATACAAAGAGACTCGAAAAAAATTTCATTCTCGAATTACTTCAATCGAATGACAATTTCCATTGAAATGACTCCAATCACTCTGACACAAAAACTCGTAAAGCGCGGTTTTTACCTATCACCGAATGAAATTACACCCATTAAACCCCGTGAATGTAACATGATTGTTTCTGACAGCATTCGAAATCGATTTTTCCCCCCATTTTTCATAAATCCCCAAGTGTGCATGACGTATTCCACATTTCTACCCGATGTTGAATTCGATATCCTCTGTGAATTGCTCGTTCCCTGTAAAAAAAAAATGAAATACTCCACCGGAGTCCCTCTACACCCGAGGATTGAGCGTAGCTTTTTCTCCGCTGGCCGCAATATTTATTTCCATATTTAGTTGATATAAAAAATATTATCAAAAAATACCACTTGCCTGCCTGTTACCCAACCTGTTGACAATATCGTCCGAAGAAGAGAGAGAGAGAGAGCTGGAAATTGTTTGTTTTGATGCTTCAGCAAGTATTGGTGAGTGACAATTTTTTTTAAATTAAATGTCTTGAGAAAAATGCGAAGAAAGCTCCGACCGAAACGTCAATTTTAATGATTTTATCGTCACATCATTTTTGTGAACGAAACAATTGCAGATGTGACTCATCGTAATTTCTACTTTTCAATAATATTTGCTATTTATTTGGCGTGAGGAATTGAGTGATTCCAATTTCCATGCGATTGATTCTGCGGGAGATCATATCGAGTGGATAAAAAAAATTGTTGAAGAACATCTGAAATTGTGGGAGTGGTTGGGAATTCACGGGGCGAGAGAATCCAAAAGTGAGTCTTATCGATGGGAAATGTGAGTGAAAAAATACTTGACGTATATTTTCTCCACGAGAGTCAATTGTAACGTGAATGTGGAATTCAAAATTCATCCCCTCAGCCCTTTCCCCTCCCCGTATATCAGGCCGTCCAATTATTTTTGAATTTTGAGAATTATTTCAATTCGATCGTCGGTTGAGCCTTGAAGTGTCAATTGTCAACATTACAATTGACTTCTCCGACGAAAATACACGTGAAATATTTTTACTCCACTTTTCCTATCGATAGTAGTTATTTTTGAATTTTCTCGAGTCGTAATATCCCAACTGCTCCCACTATTTTTCATACCTTTGAACAATTTTTTTAATGCATTTGATATCACCTCCCGCTAAATTAATCGTACGGAAATTGAAATCACTCGATTGCTCACATTAAATAAATAATAAATATAATCGAAAAATAAAAATAACATAATGACTCGTATCTCCACTCTTTTCACACGTAAAAAACAAGTTGAAAAAAATTGCCAAAATTTTCTGTCAAATATTTCTGACACTCAACAGTAAATAAGAATGAGAAGAATTGATTGACAGTTCAAAGTAATTAGTCTCTTCATGATAATGCAATTATCTCGAGGGCTATCAACAGCGGCTCAACGATAATTACTCCATCAAAAAGGCAGGAAAATTTCCCACTGAATTAAAAAAAAGACAATCCGTCTTGTCCCAATCGTTCCTCAAAACAACTCCACGAATAATTCCGCCGTAGAATCAAAGTATTTCTTCGCATTCGTCTTACCCCCAATCTCTAAAAGTTAATCACAACCCATAACATCAATGCACTTCATCCCTCCACTTATTCCAGGCCACAAACACAGTAAAAAAAATCCCTGCGAAAAAAAAACAAATACCTAAACCAAACAATTCAATGAAAACACGATCGCAAAAAGGGCGAAGAGAAAAGAAAAAATTCCCAGTGGATGAGAGGAACTGCGGACAACAAGTATTTGCTCTACCGAAGCGAAAGCATTCTCAGGAAGATAATGGAGTTTACCTCTTTCTCGAGAAAGAAGGGAAAAGCAAAAAAAAAATACACAAAACAGAATAAATAAAACATGCAAAAATGGTGCCAGCAAGAGTGTTTATGCTTTTTCGCTGAGCATACCAACAATAATGCAATGCCACTCGTACTCGCCTCTTGGTTTGTATAACTAACAAATTATCGCTCCAGCTTGACTTTTTTTTGGCTCATCCCAACTGCAATTATCCCCGAAGTTGTCGGCGGAGAGGTTCTCTCGATGATGTGCTGCCATCATCAGCGGCAGTTTCCTGCGGTGAGGATTGGGAATTGTCTCTACTGGGGTTTCGACTGGGGATTCCCCTGGTTATTCACTCGGACGATTCCTAATCCTCTCCCTCGCGGAGAGAAAAGTTGGTTAAAAATTGCCTGGAAAGTCGGGGCTTATTTTAATGTACGAAAGGTAATCGTGGAGCGAAATGTAGTTTAATGAGGAATACCTGTTTGTGAAGGATATTTTAAGTTTCGTTTTTCGAAATACGTTTTTTGAAATTTTTTATCGAATTTAATCATTCATGTTCAATGGGATAATTTTCATTAACATTTAGTAAAATTTCATTAAATTGACCATCAGTCATAGGATGTGATTATATGAGAATAAAATAATAAAATAATTGGTAATCTCAATTTCCGATTAATACTAAATTTCATAAAGAGAATTTTCAATTAACCAAATAATCGTCAATCTCTTAAATTCCATTAAATTATTAATTGATAAAATAATTCGGAATTTGAAGACTGCATTGATGATTAATTTAATAATTAAAAATTATGGAGTAATATTAATATTTTTCAATTGACTAGTTCAAAATTTTACGGTAATTCTAATTTATGATATAAAAACCTAGTTCGCTCCACGATTACTTGACTCATTCGGTCATTTTTCTCCAACGTTTTTCCCCGCGTAATTTTTTTGAAATTACCCCCAGAGCAAAATTGGTAAAACGTGATTAATTGATTGTTTGGGGAGTAATTTTCATGGAGAGATCTGACGAGTTTATGTCCTAAAACCACTCGTCAATAAGATGAATCAGAATTAAATGAAACACCACAATGATAAAAAAAAATTCGCGACCGTTTCATTTCGTCAATCTCAAAATTTGCAGAAACGGATTAATCAAGTCTCATTATCTCCCCAACGAGTGGTCCCACACCAAAACACCATAGAACCTTTTTCACCCAAAATTTTCCGCTCTACAAAAAACCTCTAGACCCCCTTCCCTCTAAACCCACTGGTTCTCGAGATAATCTCAAAAAACCCCCCCAACCAATCAAAAAATGACGTTTTACCCCTGAAAAAGCGCTCTCTCCCCCCGAAAAACCAACCAATTAACAAAAACTTTAAATATGATTGCAGTTCCGCAAACGGTGAAGCCCCAGAAGTAAGACTACGCACAAAGAAGCATCAGTGCCAGCACGAATCTACGAAAGAGCCCCCCAAAAACCCTCTCAGAGCAATGAGAAAACAGTCGTAAATCCCTTAATTAAAAAATCGAGGCGAGAGTTCGAGTGAGTGAGAGTGAAGCCCCCAAAAACCGATGAACCAACGCGAAACGAAAAGCCACCACCTCTCGTGCGACAGAAGACACCCAAAACCAAAGCCAAAACCAAAAGAAAAAAAAATATCCCACAAGAACCAAAGGAAAACCCACTAACCAGAGGAGAGAGTGAACTAAACCGAGAGACCATTGTACGAGTGTAACTAGAGAACATGATAACGTATTCTCAATCCCGACATGATTAAATTGAAGAATGAAAGAACAACGGAATAAGATAAATAAATAAATCACAAGATGTACGAGAGAATAACGAGGAGGAAAAATAAAAGATTTAATGGAATGAAAATTTTATTCAACCGAACGATAAAAGCCTTCATTTCACGAGAGAATTAATAATTTCCATGTTGATTTATGAATTAGAAGTGAGAAAGACATCGAAGAAAATTTATTTGAAGGCATTTTCAATGTTTCATTGGTGGTGGACACATTATTTGAACAGTGAATTGAGAGAGAAGTGCAAAATGCTGAGGCTGAAACTCTATCAGGAATTAAATTTCTCATTAAAGTAATTAGTTCATGAATTCCCCCCTCTCCCTCGAGTGAATAATCGACTGTCTCATCCTCTTTCGTACGATAAAAATCATTTCCGAATGAATAATTTCGCCCCATCTAGTGATTTTTTAAGAAATAAGGGTGAATATCAGAGTAAAGAGCAAGAATTATTGCCAAACTGACGACAAAAAGATGATAAAATGCAATAAAAAATGAAGCGTTATGCCTAGAGAGTCCAGACAGATGCGACGAGCTGTAAAGAGAATAATTTATTAAACAAATTGAAATAAAGAATTTGATGAGCCCTGAGAAAGCCACCCATTAACTGTAAATATGTTGTACCATCAGAATTGAAAGTATAAAAAATTCATGAAAGTTTCTAAAACGAAAGATATATTTTAACTAGAGAAATTCGATTCTTTCTCGAGTCTCAGGACTCGTTATGTTATATTATATATATGAGAGATATTATATAATATACGTATTGTTACCCAGTTTATATGCGCCCGAGAATTTGCGTGATATATGAATTTTAAATTAAATCGTAATTTTAATGAGACATTTGTTGATTTATTCCGAGCGAGAAGAATTCGGGATCATTTTTGGTTTTTTTTTTGGGAAAGGTTTTGAATTTTGGGGTTCAAGGGTCAAATGGGAGAGATGGGTGACGTGATGACTACAGTCGTCTTTCCCGTTTGACCCATAAGAATGTTTGACCTCTTCATTATTTTTTTCTAAAGCAAAATTTCGTTTTTCAAGGGCCAGACAGTATTGAGGGTCAAGTGGGAGAGACGTTTGACCTTTCATCATTTTTTTTGCAATGCAAAATTCCGTTTAAGGGCCAAATTGTATTGAGGGTCAAGTGGGAGGGACGAACGAAGTGATCAGAAGAATCTAATTTCTTTGAGGGTCAAATGGGAGAGACGGACGAAATCAATAAGGTCAAATGGGAGAAACTGGAGGAGAGATAAAAAGGGTCAAACGGGAGAGACAGGGGGAGAGATAAAGAGGGTCAAACGGGAGAGACGAACGAAGTGATCACGCCACTGGTCTCTCCCATTTAACCTGCAAGAGAATATGCCCTGTCAAGGGGGTCAAATGGGAGAGAGGAAAAAAGGTCAACAAGGTCAAAGGGAGCGACGAACTAAATAATGAGAAGAATCAAATTTTCTTAAGGGTCAATCGGAGAGACAGGCGGAGGGGTTAAGGGCGTCAAACGGGAGAGACGAGTGGAGTGATCGTTTCCATCGTCTCTCCCAGTTGACCCCCAAGCCTCAAGTTTGACCCTTCATTTTTTAAATAATAGAAATGAAAAAAAATTCACCTGAATTTTTCTCCACATTCTTTCCCTGCTGCCGTTCCCCTTCGCTCCACCCTCCCCCATCCATTAATTCTCTTTGAAATGAGGAAAATATCGAGTTGAAAAAAAAAATTCACCTCGAGTTCAAACTCGGCGAAGTGATAATCGATATTCCTTCGTCTATCTATCATCGAGGCTTCCATCAGCCCCTGCTGTACCACCCCATTACCACCCCCTCCTCATCTTTTCCACTGGCAATTTCAAGTCAATCATCCTGCGAGATCTAGATTACTGATAATGATAAGGGCGTAATGGCGATGCCAAAGTCATTCGTTTCTGTTTTTTTCCCCCTGAGAATTGATGGCCGGGAGAGGGTTCACTCGAGCACTCTTTATCACAAGAAAAAGCCCAAATTCTCCTGCAATTGCACCATTCAATTTTCAATGATTCCCGGATTTTTCTCGCTCGTTAAAGTTGAATCTGCAAGTGGCGTTTACTTGTTATCATTAAGTATTTTATTCTAAAACGAAGTAACTAGAATTAAATAAACGACAATCCTCCATTATTTGTTATTTACGAATTGTATGAGGAAAAAGTGGAATAAAGGTTTGGAAATAGGAGAGGGCTTTTTATTGACGTTTCAAAGCAGGTGTAATTAATCATCGCTCAATGACGCAGTTACTTTTATTTCCTCTGGTTTTCACGGGAAAATTCTTGGAAAATTCGCCTCGAGTTGGGCATTGGCTGGCGTGTCATGTCCTCGGGATCATCGCACGTCAGGGGGATTTTCTCGTTGTCTCTGTCAATCATTCTGGGATCCGTCCGCACTCTTGGAATCTCCATCAATATTCAGCCTGGCGAGTTGTTTCCTCATCTGGGGATGGGGTGTTTCAGCCAGATGAAAGGGAGGAGTAAATAGGGGTGTTAATAATTTCAGGGGCTTGGCATCGGGAAATGATGGGGTTGGGGGATGAAGTGTTGGGGTGTATTCGCAAATAGATATCTATCAGTCTTCTTGACAAAAATTTAAAGCACCAAATGCGTGACGTACAACTGTAATATCAAAATAACAGGCCCTTTGAGTATCTCATTGTCTGTTGCAACGTCAAACTGACGTTGCAGCAACGATTTCTTCCAACGCCCTAAAAAAATATCTGAGCCTCGAGAAGAATATTGTTTCGAAACAAGAAAGACTGTTCTTGAATAGAAATATCTTTGATTCGAGGGTTAAAAACAATCGGACAGATGGATTCAAGAGCGTCATCAGTAGAAATCACGCCCTACAATTTCATACTGAAATTATGGAGTATTATGATGAAAGAGTCCGCATTAACATGCAGATGAATGAGCTTTTTATGTCTCTGTCCCATGGACATGATTTTTAAATGAATATCCGGGACATTGTGTAATACCAATTTCTGCTTATTCAGTTTCGACATCCATCAGAGCGTGCCCATGTTAATAATCATCAGAGAATTCTATTAATTCAATATTTGAGTTGACAGAGCCCTCGGCCAACAGTAATCATCCGGGGATAATACCCCCGGGCGGACAAATCCATCAACCATCAGCGAGACTGACCACCTGCCAGTTAACACTGACATTTGTATCATTTCAGTTTATTATTTTCACTGGATAAATTTACCCGCTGATTTTCCTGTTTGAGGGACGCTGCGGAGGCATTCAGCATTTCAATTTCCACCCGACAGAGTTCAATATGCTTTCGGGCACTCGCCAGTGTCGTCAACAACCCTAATTTACTCTCTGATGTCAGTGACAGTTGATGCTTCAGCGCTGCATTCAATTCGCCTTGAGATCAGAAAGGGATGATGATCAGGGTCGAACTTTCTCATTAAAATACCTCGGTAATGAGTGCCCCCATGTGAAAATGTCATAGAACATTTTTTGTAGAGAATTTCCCGCTCTCCAAAAAATGTTCCGACACATTTCCTCCTAGAACGAATCCTTTTCGAGATAAACGAGGAAACAGGGAGGACTTCAAGTTACTCTCGTCACTGGGATTTCGGAAATAATATTGAATCAATTGTCACGGATGGAATTAAATTACCCAGGGCGATGGCTTCCCTCCTCATCTCGTCGCCCCTCATCCTCATCTCGTCGAGCTCAAAATCCCTGATCCCCAAATCCCGCTGAGCCCTCGCCAGACTCAAGGAGACGCTGCGTTTCTCCCTCTTCAGACATTCATTTTCGTCCCTGACCGCTCGCCACATCTTCATAATCCCCTCGACGTCATTCGTCAGGGCCTCAGACAACTTCGTTACTACTTTCCACTGCGTTGACTCGGCGAGTCTCGTCTTGACGGACTCCCTGTCAATGGGGGTTGAAGAGGGTAAAGAAAAATAAAGTGACTCTTCATGATTTTTTTTTTTTTTTGAGGAACAGAGATGGAAAACGTGATCGGAATTTTTCTCTCACTCCGCTTCGGTATTCCTTTTTTTCAATTAATCAGCTGTTGAATTTTCTGTGATCGCTGAATGATATTTTAATCGTAATTACAATTAATTCCCTCTAGAACACACTTTCGAGTGTCAATTTCTGGAATTTAATGTTTGTTGATACTCTGGTAAAAGTGCGTGCCCACACTGTTATCAATTTTTAGTTAGTTCGCACGGTAATTCAATTAATCTGTTGTTCATCTCATCAATATAATTCCGCGCTTAGAATATTGTCATCTCGTGTTTCTCAGCACCAAATTAAAAATGCAAACTGCATTTGGAATATTAATATCATTTGTTCAAAGTGAAAAAATCGATCATCATTTTCACTATATTGCATTCAGATTCTCCTATCCTCAACGTCAAAAATGTGAGATGATTTCATAATTCTAGCTGTTGATTCTCATTAACTTTGTTCGAAGAAAACCTTAGTAAAGGCAATATTAAGAAAGTAGAATTATTCTGTTTTCCTCTGAGCTAAATTATTTGGACAATTATGATTCGTTTATTCATGTCTCATAGAATGACATCCAATTCTAGATATTGCCCAGGCTTTTTTTTAAAAAGGATAAAAATGAAAAAGAAAATTGTCAAGGTAAAAAGACGACTATAATCCTGCCATCCCCAGCGAGAAAGGTTCGTCAGCCCCAGTCGTTGAACAACTACCCCGCGACACAAGTAAAAAAAACAGTTCCGCAAACTCCCAGAGCCTCAAGACGAGTGAAATGGCCCTTGCACCGAGTGCCCCAGAGTGGCGAGCTCACCTCGCTTGAACGACGTGGGAAATGAATTTATCATCCCTGAAGGTGTCCTCAGTTCTCCTTATCAACTCAACAAGACACAGACAAACAACCGAACAATTTTCGCAGCAACCCAAACATGAATCCGCCTGTGTGCCTCTCGTAATCGCTCCAACAACTCCCAGATCCATTCCATCTCCGTCTCGACCCTCGACATCAACCTGTCATTTTAATGGAATTTCATATCTGAATCACAGAGAATTGCATTACGTATTCATTTACTCTTGATGGCTGTGATTTCAACTGCATGAGAAGTTTATTAATTGTTCCAGCTGGGCTCGTGAACTTTCCCTTTGACTTTTTTTGCTTTTTGAGGGTTCGAGGGCCTTTTGCGGATGATAGGAAGTCGACTATTAGCTCCAGGACGAAGTGAAGTCTGCAAAGAGGGAGGTTTTTTTGATAAAATTCGAAAAATCTCGAAATCTAGGGGATCAATCACAAAATATCAGAAGGACAATTTTATGGGGAATTTCATGAGCTACAAAAAATATTTTCTTGTGTTTTTTGATAAACGCAGTAGTTTTTGAGATTTTTCGGGTTTTCTTGATCGAGAATTTTCTAATTTGTCTGAAATTTAAATTCTATTTGGAGATTAAATTCACAAAATCTTTTAATCCATCGGGTTTATCGAAAAATATCATAAAAATAATTTTATTGAGAATTTCGTGAGCTACAAAAAATATTTTTTGGTGTTTTTTGATGAAGGCAGTAATTTTTGAGATTTTTCGGGTTTTCTTGATTCGAGAATTTTCCATTTTGTCTGAAATTTAAATTATATTTGGAGTTAAAATTCGAAAAATCTCTCAACCTGTTGAATTTATCACAAAATATCAAAAAAGCAATTTTATTAGGAATTTTACGAGCTACAAAAAATATTCTTTTGTGTTTTTTGATAGACGCAGTAGTTTTTGAGATTTTTCGAGTTTTCTTAATCGAAAATTTTCTAATTTGTCTGAAATTCAAATTCTATTTGGAGATAAAATTAAAAAAAAATTTCAACCTATCGGATTTATCAAAAAATATAAAAATAATTTTATTGGGAATTTCTCCCAATAAATCTCCTGAAAAAACGGAATTAATTAATTCATTTACCTGTCATAAGCGATTTCCAGCAGCGAAATATACATTTCTCCGGCCGTTCCCCTCTTCCTCTTGATGATCTCCACGACATTGACATTTTTAGCCAATTTGTGAGGATATTTCCACGAAAGATGATCGTTTCCCTCAATTAACGAGTTAATCTCGTCAGCAAAATTACTGAATTCTCTGATGTCGATCAGTAAAGAGTTCAACAAATTTGAATTGAGTTTTGCCATGACTCGGGAGGTTACGCGCCTGCGCACGGCTACAGCTGCACAACAAGATGGCGGGCGCGATACGACGCCGGGGGCTTATTTGTCGGTTTTCGCGAGTGAAACAGGTGACTTTGTGGGTCTGAGACGGAGACAAACGCCCCGGGGCCTTTTTCATATCCAATTCATTCGATGGTCGCCAAACAATTAACGAATTAACGGATGTTATGGGCAAACTGACGATTCCGGGGAGAAAATAGCGGCCGTTCGGGGTCGAGTCGAGTGCAAATTTTGTTTCTCAAGTGCTAAACACTCTCAAGCGTCTAGTTGAATACTCAAAATCGCGATAAAAATAAAAATTGTGAATTTTTAATAATTTAAGCTGAAAAATTGTTTTTTTATGAAAAAAAAGTGAATTAAAAACGAAAAAGTGCAAATTTACACACTCTCTTGTGTTTTTCAAGGGTTAAACACTCTCAAGTGTCTAGTGGAACTCTCAAAATTATAACAAAGACAAAAATTGTGAATTTTTAAAAATTTAAGCTTCAAAAAAAATTTTTTTAATTGAAAAAAAGTGAATTGAAAATGAAAAAGTGCAAATTTAAACACTCTCTTGCGTTTTTCAAGGGTTGAACACTCTCAAGTGTCTAGTGGAACACTCAAAATTATGACAAAGACAAAAATTGTGAATTTTTAAAAATTTAACCTTCAAAAAAAATTTTTTTAATTGTAAAAAAGTGAACTAAAAATGAAAAAGTGCAAATTTAAACACTCTCTTGCGTTTTTCAAGGGTTGAACACTCAAGTGTCTAGTGGCATACTCAAAACTACCACGAAAACAAAAATTGTCAATTTTTAATGATTTAAGCTTCAGAAATTTTTTTTTTAAATTACAAAATTGTGAATTAACAACGAAAAATCGAGGGGTATTCGTCATCCAGACATTTTTCATTCTAGAACAGGTACAGGAATAAATGGAAAAACAGTTTTCATTTTCTCTCTTTTTTTATGAAACAATAATATACAGATATTCTCCTATCATATAATAATAATTCCATTCACAATTTTATTTACAATTACAATATATTCATTTTTTTTATTCCAGTGAACTTGATAAGCCGTTTCGTGAGATAATTCAGTGAAAATGAATCTACATACGTAATACGAAAAGAAACAACATTACGTGGTGTTTGTTTTTTGGTGCAAAAGTGAAGACGACAATTCGTGAGTATTTCATTCTGCTTTTGGTTATTCATTGGAAAAAAAATCATTGATAAGTACAGCGAGTCTCGTTGCACGTTGTTCTCGAGCATTGGACCCAGTTATCCAACATTCCACTTGGGGGTCGAAAATGACCCTCTCAAGATAATCGAAAAAATACCCTCAAATTGAAGAAAAAATTGCCTTTTGGCCGAAAAAAAACGAAACAGAAAACGCTTTTCCCTGTATCTCTGGAAATGATGAGGCAAAATGGGTGGGATTTTTTAAAATTTGTGGGTAGATTTCCCGACCTTTTCGAGGAGATGATTTTCATCAGCCTCCCCTCCGTGGTTGTTGAGATAAATCTCTCCGAAGGACTTGATCTGAAATTCTCAAAATTTTATCCGGAGATAAAATCCGAAAAATCTCGGAACCTGTTGGATCTGTCAAAAAATACCAAAAAATCATTTTTATGCAGAATTTTGTGGACAATAAAAAAGGTCGTATGATGTTTTTCGATGGCGGCAGTAGTTTCCGAGATTTTTTGGATTTTCAAAAGAGAAAAGTGTTTCTGTAGAATGGGGCACGGGAGATAAACCTCGAAAAATCTCAGAATCTATTGGATCTATCAAAAAATACCAGAAAATCATCAATTCTATGGAGAATTTCCCAAACTACAAAAAATGTCTTTTGATATTTTTCGATGGATGCAGTAGTTTCCGAGATTTTTCGGATTTTCTCAAGGAAAAAAGTGTTTCTGTAGAATGGGGCACGGGAGATAAACCTCGAAAAATCTCAGAATCTATTGGATCGACCAAAAAATACCAAAAAATCATTTTTATGGAGAATTTCATGAACTACGTAAAAGCTTTTTTGACATTTATCGATGAATGCAGTGGTTTCCAAGATTTCTCGGGTTTTCTCGAGAGAAAACTCCTTCCACACCCGATATTCCACCCTCAAGCTGTTGTCCGAAGTCTTAAAATTCGATATGACCCAACTACCCTCGCTTCCCCGACTTATTCATATTTATTCACTACCCACGAGCCATAAAAAACTTTCTATCCCCTATAAATCCGCGGATTTCCGTCTGAATCCCTCAATCGAATTCACAATTTGAGTCTATGAAACGTACTTTGTACAAAAAAATAATCAGGTATTCATTGAACATTAACTCGTCGCGTAGACAGTGATTGTGATTACGAGACTGATAACAAGTGGAGTGATCCGTTGGGCATTTGAGTTGCTCGGTGGATTTCTCACTTGATCGTTCATCACGTCACTGGATATTGCTGCACTGTTGGGCTCGGCCGAGGGACAGCTTATCGGTGCCATTATTGTTTCGTTGATTATGGCTGAGTCTCGGGAACATCGACTGGCGTGTCTACCCATACACGAGGCGTAGGCTATAGCATGGGGTATGTAGCTCTGATCGATGCTACCGGAGAATAGAATGTTGGCGAGGGGTCCAATGGCGAAGACCGGGACATCCTCGCCGGCGTGGGTCGCCCAGGAGCGAGGGACCCCTGCTGTCTGTTGGGAAAATAACGGATGTGATGATAATCAGCCTCCGGTGCATCATTAATAGATGAATTGAAAAGAGTAATCCTACCGATGAGAATAATACGTCCCAATTTATCAGCTGTTCAATTTTCATATCACAATACATGATTTGCTCATGTCCTAATTCCTACGCTCACTGAATAGGATTTTAATCATAATTACAATTAAATTCTCGCCAGAACACACTTTAGAGTGCGAATTTTTGGAATTCAATGTTTGGTGATAGTCTGGTAAAAGCGCGTGCCCACACTGTTATCAATTTTTAGTTAATTCACACGGTAATTCAATTAATCTGTTGTTCATCTCATCAATATAATTCCGCCAAATTAAAAATTAAAACTTCATTTGGAATATTGAGTCACAGCTTCCTTTTATTCATATCAGAAATTTTGTATTTGGATATTAATATTATTTGTTCTATCCTCAACGTCAAAAATGTGAGATGATCTCATAGTTCTAGCTATTAATTCTAATCAACTTTGTTCGAAGAAAGTCTTAGTAAACGGAAAATTAAGAAAGTAGAATTATTCTATTTTCCTCTGAACTAAATTGTTTGGTCAATTATGTGTGGAAACGAATGAATGAGAGGAAAAGAAAAATAACAACTCGATAGATTAGAAAACGAATTCATTAAATGCTGAACTGAAATTTTGCTAATTCTCAGTAGATGATGATCGAATTCCTTGAACAAAATCAAATGAATCAAGTTTTCAAGACGTGAATGAGAAAGTACATGAGAAAATGAAAAATATGGGGAAAAAATCGTCATTTCTGATTGCAACTTTTAAATGTATCTATTCAAATCGTTCCTTAGAGATACCTTTCTCTGCATTATTTTCCCAAGAACCACATTTTCCCTCCCCAGAGCCAAAATTTATTCCCTCGCCCTCAGGAATAATTTACAGACCCCCAAGAATCTTTCCTAAAATATTAAAAAACCACTTCAGCAAACTTCACGGAAGAGTAATGGGTGTTTACAGGGTGGGGCATTTTAATCGATTGCTCACCTGAATAGAATCCTTGCTAGCCTCCCGCATGACGGATCGTGGCTCCGTGTGACCCGGACCGTTGCTGTATAACAGGGTTGTGTATGGCTTCCCATCCACGTCCGACTTTTTGCTATCGGAGCCTTTGAAACACAAAGACGACAATTTCAGATAAAATAAATTCGCTCAAATTAAAATCGTCTGCTCCACACTGGGAGAAGAACTGACGTTGCGAGAGTTTTTTGAAGATTCTGTCTGAAGAATCTAAGGGAGATAGAACAATTTTTGTCATGACCTTTTTTGTAGCCCTCAATTCGTTCCACAAAAAAAGTCATAACGAAAATTTCGTTATTTGCCTTCGATTCGGAGATATTGTTCAAAAACTCAGCTGAAACCTAAATCGACTTAAACAAGAAATTTTTTTTTTTCTCGTAGCATCTCCTCTCCGGAGGTATTGCTATCGAATTTTTTTACGATTCATATTGAATTCTGAAAATGTAGAGGACAATTACTAGTGGAAGAGGGGCCCCAGTAATGAGAGAATGCGAGAAAATTTACTTGTGAGAAGTAAAATAAAATGAATGTCAGGTGTCGTCTTGGGGGTTGAGTTCGGAGAAATAGAAAAGAGAATTAAATGAACTGTTGGGGGTGGGGGTGGCGACGGAAAGGGGTTTTGCCTCTCAGGAAAATGGAGATGCCGATGTTTTATTCAGGTGTCGACGAGAGCTATGTATCTGAGGGCATTCCCTCCTGGGGAATGCCCCATTTTTCTATTTGTTTTCACGAACGTTGGATTATTTAGGGTTTCACGAGGTCGGGCATTGTGATTCGCCTTTTCATATGATTAAACATAAATTTACATATTTTATTTTCGTGTAATTGCTCCAATGGAGATGTTTAATTGGAGTGTTGACCCTTGCACCCGAGAATAAGCTTTCATGCGGGAGAACTCTTCCTCGATCCGGTCTGCCTAAAAATGATGCGATTTGAATAAATTCATAGGTTTTTGTCTCCAATGACAAAACCTTCAAAATGACTCAAGATTTTTTTAATTCCACTCAGCCGATGTAAAGTTATCAAAAATTGAAAATTACCGCGCACACCTAACGCGGAACTTTACGAACAAGCAAACTATTCCAACAAGAATAACTCCACCACTAGAAACCCGATATCCCTTCATAATTAATGATACATTCCACCGAATTTCCTCATCATTATCAGCACAACAGGCATCATAATTCCTCGCATCCAGATAATAGCATCTACTTCAGAAGCCCTCGGAACCACTACGACTCCCGATATTTCATTAAAGAAAAACCCCAGAACTTCCTCTACCTCACTCATCAAGTTTCAATTTCACCTACGTCACGCAACCCTCGACGCTCTGCTTTTCCCACGATTTATCTGGACACACGAATTTGCTGGGGCAAGGGGGGGGGGGTGGAAGACAGAGGGATTTTTTCGTTACTCTTTTTCCATCTACCAAAAGCACAATACGTGTTTTCCACCGGATTCCATTATGAAAAGAGTGACGCGACGTATACTGTTCTCAGGAAAAGGGGGTGGTAGAGAGGGGGGCGAGAGGGGGTGAGGGAGTATATTTGAAATGGGACAATGCGGCTTTTCTCCGTGTTCCGCACATCGGGCTTTCCGGTAGTCGTGGTAAACCTCTTCGAATTTACCCTCTCTCCCTCTCTCACTCTCTCCCCGTGGCATTATTGCGGGTCACCTCTGCGTGGCCTTTGTGGCACACCCGAAACGCATTGGATTTCATCTGACTCCCGAGTATTGTTGGGATTATTAAGGATATCCCAAGTATCTTTTGCAGTTTGGTAGAGATCACTTTGTCGATTAAATTGCGTGGTGAAAATTGAAAAAAAAACATGGATATTCAACGTCAATCAAATTATGTTTTACACAGAATTATCATTTTTTTAATACTTGCTGTTTATACATTATTCATAGAAAATGTAATTTTTTAATTATTTCATCAATTTTCCTCCGGCAGTAACTTTTCAAATTTTTTTCAGATTTTTCAAATGTTTTCTAACGATTCAATATCGAGAGTCAAATTCAGACCTGCAAGCCCGGCTTAAATTGAAGCTCTAATATTCGACTACAAAAGTAGAAAAGCATTTTCGGCTAATTTTTGTAGAGGAAAAAAAATAATCATCGAATTGAAGAAAGAATGGCCCAATAATGACAATAATCGTCCGCGTAGGCGTGCGCGGTGATTTTCTATTGTTGATAACTCGATAGCGGCAGAGTGAAATTTGAAAAATCTTGAGTCATTTTGAAGGTTTTATCTTTAGAAACATGAACCTATGAATTTATCCAAATCGCATCATTTTTAGTTAGACCAGATCAAGAAATTATTCTCGTCTAAAATCTTCAAGGCGTGCGCGATAATTTTTCATCCTTCATAACTCCACATCGGCTGAGTGAAATTAAAAAAATCTTGAGTCAGTTTGAAGCTTTTTTCATAACCTACCAAAACCTATAAATTTATTCAAATCGCACCGTTCTGCCACACTTTTTCCGACTCCCTCCCGAATCTTACAGGATCCCAACAAGCATCAGGACTCCCTCAATTTTAAAAACTCAATTGAAAAGATCCTATTATTGATAAAAAACGACTTCCCCCAAAACCCTCAATTGAAAAACTAACTCAATGCCATAAAAAAAAAATCCCAGAATTTTAAATTCCTCAGAATCCAATTCATTTCAATCGTTGACTTATCCTCCTTTTTTAACCCCTCAGTAACTACGATGCGATAATTTCACCAGATATCCAGGGGGATTTTCTCAGAGATGTTATCCACCGAGTTCCAACCCCCCTCCCCTCACCCTTCTCGTTGTCGTTATGCAATACGAGTTGGAGGGAAGGCCAGGGGGTGGGATAAAGCGCTACGGGAATGCTGAGGGTAGTCTAGATTGAGCTTTAGTGGATCGCCTCTATGGTTTTATACGTTCACATAGGGAGGGCAGAAAATCGGAAAAGATGTTACACAGGATTACGGAAAGATAAAAAAAAAGAGTCATATTCGAAATTAAGTGGAATAATCCGGTTGGATGGGTTCATGAATATTTTCAAGATCATGAAGCAACATAGATGAAAATTTTATGAATATGTCGTAAAAAAATGTGCACATTTAGCATAAGATAAACAACGAGACTATCCCTTTTACCCCGGGGGTTGTAAAAAAAAGGCGAAAGCAAAAGTTTCACCAAAAAAGGTTTTAAAATTTCTCTATAAAAGCAGCGGGACAAAACGGGTCGTTTTTGACAAAATGAAAAAAAATTGACCCATTTTGCCCCAGGTGCAAAAATGTAAAAAAGTAATTTTCGTAAAAAAAAATTATTTGGAAAATTGATGGGGCAAAACGGGTCGTCGTTTTTAAATAAAAAAATTAAAAAATATGACCCGTTTTGTGTGACGCTTTGAAAAATGTGAAAATTTAATTTTCATCAAAAAATGTTTTTTGAATTTATTTGTAAAATTAATGGAGCAAAATGGGTCATATTTTTTTATTCAACACGTGATAAATTTTCCGGGTATTTAAGGATAAAACATTAATCCTCCCATTCCTCCGAGGATCACCGAGTATCCCGTGAATTTCTTTTCAGTAGAAAACCCAATTCATCAGTCAGACTGATTAATCAACCTAAAAATCAAGAATCCCGACTTGAACCGCAATCTCTCCCAAAATGAATGAAATCCCCCGCGCAGATTGAAAGGAATTGAATTAAGCCCCTTAAAACAATTCAATCAACCGTTTTTTTTTGTGAATTGGTAATATCGAGAAGGGGGGGGGGGAAGTCGAGTCATAAAGGGAAGCGACTCCGTCGTATTTTCCTTTTTGCCCGTGGAGTCGTGAGAATCCGAGATAAGAAAAACTGAGACTGCAACTGGAAACGGCGGGGGNAATATCTTGAGCGTTAAAAGGTAGCAGTCGTCCAGCGAAAAGGATTGGGAATTCATTCTGGGGGAAAACTACGAGAATTGTTTTCACTCAGTGCAAGAGAATTCTTCTTAATTTCAAACGGTTTTTCCTTGATTAAAAAAAACCCGAAGAATAATCTCTTGGAAGATAAATTACTCATCTCTGGGGATAAATAGAGCTGTTGAAATTGCTGGGGAGGGGGTCAAAAGTGACCGCATTGTGTAGAGAAATTTCTTTTGAGGATATGAAAGTACTTTGACAATTTTTTTCACCGGTAAAATGCTTTTCTAATTTTGTAGTTGAACATGAGAGCTTTCATTTGAGACCCATTTGACCCCAAGTTTCCGGACATTTTGCAATGATTTTATTATTTAAACTTTGCGGGTCTGAATTTGAATCTTCATATTCAACCGTGAGACCCTTCGATTTCATGCCTAAAAAAATTGGGTTTCTGAAAGTTTAAACAATGGCCGTGACTATTCGCACCATTGCGTGAATCACTCCCGTACACTCCATACACTCCACGCATGCGTGAAGTTTGTGTGTTTCACGCAGCCGAATTTTCATACTGCTGTGTATTTCACGCAGTTGAAGTTTCATACTACTGTG